ATTATATAGTTATAGGCAATTGTTTCAAGTTATTTATTTTAACATCAATATTATTTTTTTCTTTTACAATAATAATAATAATAATAATAATAATAATAATAATAATAATAATAATAATAATAATAATAATAATAATAATAATAATCAAACTTTTATTAACTAATGATAATAAACGTTTGTTTATAATATTAAACAATTATTATTTTATTTTTCCTAATGATCAAATTTTGAATATGAAATATGTTCATTATCCAGAATTTTTAAAATTAAATTCTCATATATTGCTTATAATATTTTATGTACATCTATGCATGTGCACAAGATGTATACTAGTTTAACTCAACTTTAAATAAGCACCACTATCTCCTATATCCCTATATATAATTCTTGAATGTGATGAGCCTAAATGACAGACTCTCATGCTTCGGGATCCTATTTGTCATACTTCTATGCTTTGGACTGATACATAATTAGGCTAGGGTGCCATGTCAAATGTTCGTTAGGCATGGTTATTTCCATAATCCATTAAATATTTTCTTTATTGAAACAATTATTATTTATTTCATTCTATATTTTTCTTTCATAGTTACCATGATATTTTTTCTTTTATTTTTTTTAATATTACATATCTTCACTTAAATCAATCATAATAATTTATTTCTCAATTTTTCACTCAAATATCTACATATTACTCGTTTAGAAGATAGAGTAATATGATTTTATCCTTGTAAAAATAATCGTTGTTTAAAGTTATATTGGTATGTTGTCAGTCTAACAAAAATGAATAATTAAATATTCAAATTCTAAGTTACATATAAATTAAAAAAAATATAGTTTGACATCCAAATTCTAAAATTATATATGGGTGTTTAACTATTATGATTAAGAAAATATAGTTTGGCAATTTCGTTAAAACACAACTTATTTAGAATTTTTTTTAGAAAATAAAATAAAAAGTTTGAATATTTTATATATACTTTTAAATTTACCCGTGTAACACACGGGTATTGTGCTGGTTATCAATATAAATAAATAATATCAATCATCATTCTTACACATCACATCAACTTTAATTTACTATTCATCAACTCACATAATTTTAACTAACCATCAATTCTAATCATTTTTTTTTTATTTTTTTATTTTTTAAAAAAGGATCAATAGTGTTCTCACTTCCCCTCCTCGGTGACTCGAACTCATAGCCTATCGGTCATAGGTGAAACGTCTTACCACACAAGTTGCGTTTCGTTTTCATGACCATCGCTTCCAATTATGTTTCTCCTACTTTTACATCAAATCAACTTTAATTATTTTACTTTAAATAATATTTTAATTTAAACTTGAATATCCTCTAACATTTAACCATACCACATTTTTCCAAAATTAATTATGGTGAAAAAAATAATTAAAAACTAGTTCAATCCATCAATCACACCCTTAGCATTAGTCATTACATATATTAGTAGATATCTTGTGCACATGCACAGATGTACATAAAATATTCTAAATAATATTTGAGAATTTAATATTAAAATTCTAGATAATGAACATATTATATTTTAAAAAAGTTAATCATTAGGAAAAATAAATTAACGATTTTATTATTATGAACAATTGTTTATTATCATCATATAATAATAGTTTGATTATTATTATTATTATTATTATTATTATTATTATTATTATTATTATTATTATTATCATTATTATTATTATTACTAAGAAACAATTGTTTATAAGATTTTAAAGTTGTTTGACTATGCTATTAAAACAATTTACTTATTATTTTTAAAGAATTGTTTTCATGAGATACAAAAGAAAAATATAATATCGATGTTAATATAAATAATTTGAAACAATTGTTTATAATTAGGTAATTTATATTTATTGTGAATTGTTATTAGGTGGTATTAACAATAACTATTATATAATATAATAGAAAAATACATGATTACGCTTAATAAGATGTATTAATGTGAGAAGTAAAACAATATTACATGATTACGCTTATATAGATTGTCTTCATTTAATTTACAGATTTAGACATATTCTATTTGATATTTGGGAAAGAACTAAATTAATTTGCAGCTTTAGAAAAGCTGCAAATATAAAATTATTGTGGAGAGAAAATCTAAATAATTTTCATAATAAATAATTTTACTATTCATCATGTTTAAAATTAACTATACACAAATAATTTAAAATAAATATACTTGTTAATATTTGAAATATTTATCTTAAAAATTAACCCTTTATATACAGGTTTAATTTAAAAAATCCTACATCTACAAATTTTTATGTGGGTCTTTTTTTTTTATGTTTGTTTTATATCTTGTGCTTAGTGTAAGAAAAAATTAGTTTTGTACCGATATAATAATTTTATTTTTCGTAAATAGAAGACTTAGAAAATTCTCAAAACTTTTTTAAGGTGAACGAGAAATTAATTCTAAGTGTTATATATTAATTAATTGAGTTTAAATAATTCAAAGGTTGTATGGTTCACAAACATTCTGTTTTGGACAAATTAAACGAGCCATAATTATGCATTATGTATGCTAGAATTGTAGAAGGGCTCGTTGGGAACAAGTAGGAAAAAACAGAACTCGATTCCAAGTATGTATGAGCTTGTACGAGCCAGCGGCGCACGGGCGCGCAATTAGTTGCGGAAATCAAAGGGTCACAACCTTTGGTGACCATAAGGTATCTCTTGGCCACTAGATGCATCCGTTCTCCTTCGGGCACATCCCAAAAAGTGTCTTTTGACACTTAAACCTCTTGGAGGTGCTTCCCTACATCTATAAATACCCACTAACTTGAAATAATTCATAACTTCAAAATTAGAGAGCTTTTGCATTATTTTCAAAGAGCATATAGTATATTGTGTTCTTTGATTTTTTTCATTGAGTCTTGAGAGTTCCAACCAATAGTAGTGTTCACCGAAGGCTTGTATATTTGAAGTACCGCTATATACAAGTCAAAAGTCGTTGTATCTTGGAGGCATTTTTTGTTAACTGTGGGTATTTTACGGGACAATTTCGTCTTAAGGAGAACATAATTATTACGTGCCTCGGCTTTGATTTTTGTTTCGTTTTCTTCATTCTCCTTAAGCCGTCTTTTTGATATTCATAGATAACACAAAGTACAATCTTAAGACGAAATTTTTGTGAGTTTATAAGGTGGAAATCGAAGGAAACCAAACGTCTTCTTTAAGTACTCAACCGACCGCTACATCGGCTACCAATCCTTTCATCCCGATGGTAGTTGCTCCCGTCTAAGGCGACATATTGCCGAAGTTCAATGGCTCTGTTTTCAAGAGGTGGCAGCAAAAGATGTTTTACTTCCTCACAAATCTCTCCCTCTCTTGTTACTTTTGGAAGACTCTTTGATCGTCCTCGAAAGTGAGACTAACGTCAAAAAACGTATGGTCTTGGATGCTTGGCATCATAGTGGTTTCTTTTGTAGGAATCTAATACTTGACGGACTCGACAATTCACTATATAATGTGTATAGCCCGGTTAAGATGTCTAAGGAGTTGTGGAACTCTTTGGAAGCAACATACAAAATGGAAGATAACAACACTAAAACTTTTATCGCCTTTCAAGTGTAGAATATTGTTGAAAAGTTGTCTCCTTTGTGGAACGACTTTAAGAGTTATCTCATGCATAAATGTCATTATGATGGTGATAAAACCGGGTACATTGTCAAAGTTTACTCTTCTGAAGAGGGGTAAAGGATAGTGCGAATTGTCGAGGACAAGATAGTACCTGTCAGAGCTCGATCTTTCTGTCGTGGTTCGAATACATACTTGATTAAAATTCCACGTTTATAGCGGATAAGAACAAGAGTCACTTGACCCATAGGCGCTTATAAACGTTGTCCTACAACCTCATCTATGGAAGGAAGTATTTGTGCAATTCATCGATTTCAAGTGTTGAAGGAACCGATAAGGTAGTGTGCTAAGAACGAATATTGGAGAAGTGGATGTTCTTTATGCTGAAGACATCATAAGAATCTAGTTTCCGGACCATTGATTAAGTAAGGCCGGATTTAGATTAGTTCATGATTATCGACAAATATGTTATGCCGAAATATGATGTATTCTTAGCATAAGTAGACCTTAATAGATGTTATTTTATAGTTATTGTAAAAATTGTAATCTATCGGTTGACGAAAAAATAAATAAGTTGGTCTTATTTATTGAATGTTCTAATTTCGGGCATGGAAAGCACCACATGAAGGTAGATACGAAACTCCGTTTGAGTATAAAAGCATTTGTACCTATACCTTAGAATGTGGGGGTGTTCGAGCCAAGGTAGAAATACCTAAATAATGACATGAAAAGTTAGTTGAAATAACTTTGTCGAATGTTTTCAAATTCATTGAATGGCAAAATGAGTATATGTAGACAATATAATGATCTTGGAATATAATAATGATGTGTTCATGAATATCAAGAAGATAAATTAAAATTTTCCTAGCTTTGGGAAGAAAAAATCTATTTTATAATTATATAAAAAATTAGACATAAAAATCTCTACCGTAAAATATGGAAACCAAAACGTTTTTATTTTTTTACATAAATAAGCAAAACACGTGTCTTTAAAGTATTTTCAGAATTTCCTTTATTGGCAAGTCAAATAAGTTTGACCCAAAATTTCTTAATAAAATAAAAAAATCCAGCAACCTTTTCCTAGCATGGATAGATATCATATTACCTATTTCAAGAAATAAAAAATTGTAAATTAATATTCAATTTTTAATCCAACCAATGATATAAGCAGTAAACATGAGTAGGATAAGTGAAAATAGAAAAGATAGCATGTCATTTTAAATGTATAGTCCCATGCTGGGAATTTGTTAAAGCACCAAAAACTTGTGATTTATCTGCATATACAAGAACAGGGGATACAGTGTTCACAACCCAAACAACCTCCATTGTTAACACCAAAGATACCAAGATTGATAGCTTTATACAAAGTAATTTGCTATCGACACTAGGAATGAGAACGGGCACCAGCAGAAACCGGGCAGTTGGTCTGAGTTTGGCGATATTACTTGTGGCCATCGCGTTTTCTGGTGCCAATCAAGTTCGGCCCTTGGATGAGTCGATGACGCCATTGCCTTGGGGTGCAATGTTCGTTTTGGGAGACTCGTCGGTCGACTGTGGAGACAACACTCCATTCTATGTTCTTCTGCACCGTAACCAGTCCCTATTCCCGTGCAACGGCTCTGATGACACTCTAATCCCCCAGCTTCTTGGTAAACACAAACGCGCGCGCGCACACACACACTCTCTCTCTATCATTAATGTACATTTTTAGTTAAGGAGATGTGTGAGGATAGAATATCTTTAATTGAATCCTATAGCGACAACTATACACGTTCAATTTACATATGTTGTCCATATAATATTTTTAACAGATAAAATATTTTTTTAATGGAATGCAAACTAGCTCTGCTGAGAATTGCTGCCTAAACTCGGTAACAAATAACTTTACAATGAGAAAATAAATAATTTTGGCAGCGAAGAAGATGGGGTTGGCGGGCACGGTACCCTTCTACAGCCAAAACGGGTCGATCCAAGTGATCCTGGGCGGGTTGAACTTCGGGTCGGCCCAGGCAACCATACTCTATCCGGGCAGCCGCAGCTTCCAGTCCCTGAACCAGCAACTCCGCCAGGCTTCCGAGACCATTCAACTGCTCCACCTCAACCTCGGCCAGGAGACGGCCACTCCTTTCATCCGCTCCTCCGTTTTCTACCTTTCCTTCGGAAAAGATGACATCATCGACCACCTCATTAATGCTAGCCCGCCCACCGCTCAGAACCTTAGCCGCATTCTGGTCCACCAGATGATGAATGCCGTTAGGAATCTATACGCCAACAATGTGAGGAGGATCGTGTGTGCGGGGGTTCTTCCGCTGGGGTGTGGACCACGCTGGCGCGCGGTGGGCAGCGCCGCGGAGGAGTCGTGCTCGGATGAGGTCAACAGGGCAGTGTCGGAATTCAATGTGATGATGGAGGAGAATGTTGTTGGGATGAGTGGGGAGTTGGGTGATGCGCGCGTGACCTTCTGTGATGTGTACCAGGCCATGATGGAGGTCATCAAGAATCCGTCCGGCTATGGTAGTAATATTTCTTTTATTTTTATTTTTACATATTATATATTTATTGTTTTATTTGATTTTCATTTTTATTTGTCCCTGTGCTGTGCAGGGATAATGGATGTGAAAAATGCGTGTTGCGGGCAAGGTAGGTATGGAGGGGAGAGTGGTTGTGTTTCGGCCGATATGGCCTGCAACGACCCTTGGGCCCACGTATGGTGGGACTTGTACAATCCAACCCCAGTAATCAACTCGCTTTTGGCTAGTTCAGCTTGGTCTGGCCAGCCTCTGCCTTCCGTTTGCCGTCCAATAACCGTGCAACAAATGCTCTCACCATGAAATCGGAGGGTTTGCCTTTGCAGCTGCCTCTGTTTCCAAGTTCAGATACGTGTAATAGTGTACTTATACGGTCACAAGCCGAGAGTGCTTGTTTTAACTTCATAAATCTGCTTAGCATTAGTTGTATAAGCATGACCTAAGTCCTAACTACTTGAGAATCACACGACTTGAGTGAGTCTTTTCATATCTAACTTGCTTATCTGCATGCAAATTGAGCTTCACCTACAAAAAAACAAGTGACAATTATCTAACAACTTCATACCAAATGAGTACTACTTTATGTAGCTCGACCTATTCGATTAATCTGTCTCTTACACTTGAACAAATTCCTCTTCTCCTTGCATAAAACATCTAAACACTTCAATCTCGTACATGGCTCGTCGGGTCCAAGAACTCCATTTTCCTAAATTAGATATTCCTATAAGAGTACACAAAACAGAACTTGTCTTGCCTGATTCCGATAACGTTATCCCACCACACAATGGCCAAGATTGCCTTTACCTGTCCAATCTTGATGACATGGTCGGAGTGCGCGCTTTCACCCCGACAATATATTTTTACGAATCAAAAGATCGCGATGAAAAACCCATTTTCCAAACACTTAAAGATGCCCTTGGTAAAGTTTTGGTACCTTACTATCCGTTCTCGGGCCGGCTGAGAGAGGCGAAAAGAGGAAAGCTCGAGGTGTTCTTCGGCCCAGATCAAGGTGCTCTTCTGGTTGAGGCCAGTTCAGATATTGTCTTAGCAGATCTCGGTGATTTATCTGTCCCCAATCCCGCCTGGATAAAGTTGATCCACACGTTTCCCGGTGAAGAACCGTACAAAGTCGTGGACATGCCATTGATTATAGCCCAAGTCACCCGATTCATGTGTGGTGGTTTTAGCCTCGGATTGAGGATGTGCCATTGTATGTGTGATGGGTTCGGGGCCATGCAGTTTCTCAGTGCGTGGGCCAGCACAGCGAAGGCCGGTTCGTTGGTGTTGAATCCTAAGCCCTGTTGGGACCGAGAATTCTTCCTGCCTCGTGATCCTCCCAAGATTGAGTTTCCACACATTGAATTCAAGAAAATCGAAAACGGCTCAAACTTAATCCAACGGCTCTTTCAGGGTAAGCTTGTCCAGAAATGCTACAAGATAAGCAGCGAATACCAAGCCCATTTGAAGGCACTAGCGCAAGAAGGCGGGAAATTCAAATTCCCGTGCACGACCTTCGATGCTATGGCGGCCCACGTGTGGCGATCATGGGTGAAGGCGCTCGACGTTAGACCGCTCGGCTGCCGCCTCCGTCTGACTTTTTCGGTCAATGCCCGTGCCAAGCTCAGGAACCCACCTCTCAAGGATGGGTTCTACGGGAATGCATTGTGCGTAGCTTGTGCCGTGAGCACTGTGGACGGGCTCACGGGCGGGCCTCTGATGGGCCCAGCTTACCTGGTGCATGAGGCCCGGATGGCAGTGTCGGAGGATTACGTGAGGTCAACGGTCGACTACATCGACCGGCACAGGCCCGAGAGGCTGGAGTTTGATGGGAAGCTGACGGTTACCCAGTGGACCCGCTTCTCGATCTACGAGTTAGCCGATTTCGGGTGGGGGAAGCCGGTGTACGCGGGCCCCATTGACCTGACCCCGACCCCGCAGGTGTGCCTGTTTCTCCCAGGGGTCGGGGAGGGTGAGTTCGGTGGTGGGGCCATGGTGCTCTGCATATGTTTGCCTGAATCCGCCTGCCGGAGATTCGGGGAATTGTTGATGAATGAATCACGAGCTTAAGTGAAAATTATAGGAAAAGTTGAGGTTTGCAAAGGAGAAAACATGCTAGAATGATGCAGTTATTACCATAATGGAGTGGTTTGTGAAGTGAAATGTAGCCAGATGTGTGTCAAAATGATTCTCTCTTTTTTTGTTTCTCTAGTTTAATTTGTCCTGGAAATATAGGATGCTATTTTAAAGATTGTGTTCACTTAAAGCCATTTTTTTTTTTTTTCAACAATAAACAAGCCATATCATAAAACTCAAAGATAATGTCTTACACAATGGGTACTCAAATGAGTACAAGCTACATAGCAACCCACACAAATGGACAAACTACAGCCACGAGCAACCAACATTAGGTCCTCTTACAAGCCTCCAAAGCCAAACACAAAGAAGAAGAACAAGCAAACTTATCAAAATGAAAATTACATGCCGTGAAATTCTGAGAAAGAGATACAATGTCAGAGACAATAGTCAACACTTAAAAGGCATTGTTACAGTTCTTTTTGTCAATAGAGTAAGCATTTCTCAAGTTTATCTAGTTCGAAAGAAATATAAATAGTCGAATGTTTTGTGTATTTTACACACAAAAGTAAAAATTAAGAGAGTGATAAACAAACACAATAATTTGTATTTAGCAAAATTATAATTGGTGCCCCATAACTTGTTGCGTTCATCAAATGTGGACAACTTTTTTTTTCTTTTTTTTTTTTTTTTTTTTTT